AGTCCTAAGTCGGGCATGTCCCCCTACAGGCCGATTGTGAATAGAAAAAATCAAAAATAATCCACAAATAATCAAAATAGTCTAAAAATCCCACCAGTCCTTTGGGCGACAGGTGGTCTAAGGAGGGTCTCTTTCCTCTTCCACAACCCATCTTCCCTTCGGGGAGGGAAACCCTCCTCCTCCCCTCCCTGAGGATTTTTGAGAGGGGGTCGCGACGAGTTAGATCATCCTTGTTCGGCCCCTGGGAGGGCCATTTTTTGCCACCCCTCACGAGGATCGTGGCCCCCGAAGGAGGGCGGAGATAAAGGAACCCCCTCGTTTGATCGATAGCCTCCAAGATGGCCCCAAGAGGGCCTCCAGGGTTCCCAAGAGAGCCCCAAGAGGGCCCAAAGAGCGCCCCAAGAAGCCCCAAGAGGCCTTCAAGAGGCACCCGAGAGACCCCCAAGAGGCCCCCGAGCGGCCTCATAGAGCCCAAGATGACCTCCAAGATGGCTCAGATAGCCCAAGCTGGCTCAAGATGGCTCCCAAGATGCCCCAAAGGGCCCCAAGACCGCTCCAAGACGGCTCGAGATGGCCACGGAGCCACCCAAGCCTCCCTCGCTGTTTGACTGTGCGTGCCTCTCCCTCTCCACCCCCCCCGCCAGCTCTCATGGGCATCGTTTCTGGATGGGCTGGTGGGGATGCGCGAAGCGCCACGAATACTCAGAAATCGCCCCCAAACTATCCTTGTTGGCTATTTTTGAATCTTCCTCCTGTAGAGCTGACTACCTACCAAACCACCCCAACCCAACCCGAAGACCCGAACTTGACCCGAATTTCGGGTTGGGGGGGTACGAGTTCCACGTGTTTGTTCGATGTTCCCCGACCCCCCCCCCACTGGAAATGGAGGGCAAATCGTGGCCTTCGGGTTGGGTTGGGGTGGTTTGGTGGGCGGTGATAGAGGGCCCTGCCTGGCCCAAGATCAGCCAGCGCTGCTCCCGTGCCGCTCCGCCGGGCGGCCCGTCATACCACCGAGCCCACCCACGGACGCGAGCCGACCCCCCACGCCCCGCGAAGGGCGCTCCACTGGGTCGGGCACGCTCCCCCACAGGCGGACCCTGGACGAGAAATCCGCCGGCCGTGGGGCCACCAGGCCGTAGGCCGAAAGTTCGCAGTTTCCTGTACCGATTGCAGCTTCCAGTGTCCACTGTTACGGTTATGCTTCTTGCTGCTGACTGTTCCTTGTTGATGGACCGCGCGAGGGGGGGGAGGCCCAAACGGAAAGGTTTTAGCACGCCCTGAGCGTGTTGTCTGAATTACTGGGGTCGGGCATGTTCCCCTACGGGCGGACCTTGGACGAAAAAGTACTCGACGCGGAGATCCCCACATGTGCATCTCATGGTGATGGCAAACTTCGGTAGAAGACACTGTCCTTTTCAATATCCGAGTGTCAGCGAATCCACGTGGAAAACGAAGCCGAGAGAGACGCCGACGACTACGACGACTTGAAGTAGTTGCTTCCTCCTTCCGTCCTCCTCCTCCTCCTCCTCCTCCTCCTTGTCCTTATCCTCTTTCTCCTCCTTTCCCTATGAACACCTGTCAGGGAAAATCATCCGTGAAAACAAAAACGGGCCTGTGATATACCCCCTGGCGCCCCCCTTTGGGAGTACTGAAACCAGCGCCTCGCCTGAGAAGTCCTCGGAAACTGCTCCGAAAGAAAAGGATGTTGAGCACCCAAACAGGCAAACCGCCTGAGACATCCCCCCAATATGGGCACGAGGGAGCCTGTGTTACACCCCCTGGCGTCCCCCCGTGGGAGTAATGAAACCAGCGCCTCGCCTGAGACATCCTCGGAAACTGCTCCGAAAGTTGACGATGTCGGGCACCCAAACAAACAAACCGCTCGGGGCATCCCCGCCATTTTAGCGCGAACGGAGGAATGCAGTACCCCCTGGCGGCTCCCCCCTGGAGGCGAAAATGAACGCCTCGCTCGAGATATCCTCCAAATCTGCTCCGAAAGCTGAGGATGTCGGGCACCCAAACGCCCAAACCGCTCGAGACCTCCCCGCCAGTTTGGCGCGAACGGAAGAATGCAATACCCCCTGGCGGCTCTCCCCCATGGAGGCAAAAATGAACGCCTCACTCGAAATATCCTCCAAATCTGCTCCGAAAGCGGAGGATGTCCGGCACCAAAACAGGCAAACCGCTTGAGACATCCCCGCCGGTTTGGCGCGAACGAAGGAGTGCAATACCCCCTGGCACCTCCCTTGGGATTACTGAAACTAGCGCCTCGCCTGAGACATCCTCGCAATGTGTGTGTGTGTGAGTCTGAGCGCGGAAGTACCAGGTGTGAGTGAGTCTGCATATGACTGGTCCTGAGCATGAGAAAACTCGAGTATCAAGAATCTACGAGCGAGGATATGTGAGTATGAGTGAGTCTGGCGATGAGTGGGTCTACATGTGAGTGAGTGCCAGAAAATGATGACCTGAGGGTGGGAGGTGTTGAGGGTGGGAGGTATGTGGTCTCGCTCTCGCGTTCCGCGCGGTCTCAGTAATTATTCACTGCGCGGAGCTCCCCATATGTGTATCTATTCGCACGGACCTGTCCGCCGTGAGTGTCTAGGCGCAAGAGTGTTCGAATATAAGCGGGCTTGAGTTGTGACGGTCTGGTCATGAATCTAACTGCGAATGGATTGGAGTGTGAATGAGCCTCAGTAGTACGAGCGCGTCTCTGCGCATGAGGCTGGGGCCTCATGGGGCCTCCTGAAACCTACTGGGGCTTCCTGAGGCCTCCAGGAGCCTCTTGGGGCTTCCTGGGGCCTTCTGGGACCTCCCAGGGAGGATTCGTGCCCCAGGAGAGGCCTAATATATAGGAACAGACGTACATAAAACATTGCGGATTGGAGCCACAGGAGAAGGGCAATCTATGGGAGCACACGTAAAACAACAAGGACGCGTGCCCCGGGAGGGGCCCAATATATCAGAACATACGTAAAAAAATAGGATCCTGCACACAGGAGACGGACAGTGTGTAGAAACATACGTATAGCATCAAGCATTCGTGCTCCAGGTGAGGCCCAATCCATAGAAGCATACGTAAAACACATGGGATTGGAGCCATTCCTGTTGCCGTCTGAGGCCTCCTGCTCCTGGGGCCTCTCTGGGCCTCCTGTTGCCGTCCGAGGCCTTCTGGGGCCTCCTGTGGCCTCCTGGGGCCTCCCGTGGCTTCCTGAGGCCTCCTGGAGCTTCATGGGGCCTCCTGGAGCCTCTCGGGACATCCTGTGGCCTCTTGGATCTTTATGTGGCCTCCTGATGCCTCCTGGGACCTCATGTGGCCTCCTGGGGCATGTTGGAGCCCCCTTTGGCATCCTGATGAGAATATGTGCCCACGAGTCTGGCCACCAAAACAAGCAAACCGACCGAGGCATCCTCAAAATCTGGCCCACCTGGGGGTGAAATTGAGCGCCTCGCTCGAGACATCCTCCAAGTCTTTTCTCCAAACGAAGGATAAAGGATGTTGAGACAGAAAACAAGCAAACCGACATCCCCACAAAACGGCCGCGAACGGGACCGTGCAATACCCCTCGGCGGCTCCTCTTAGGGGTGCTGAAACCAGCGCCCCGCCTGAGACATCCTCACAATCTGCTCGCCAAGCGAAAGATGCTGGGACATCCTCGCAATCTGCTGTGTGTTGAGGAAGTCAGACAATGAGAAGGTCTGAGTATGAGTAAGTCTGGGTATGAGTGCGTCTCAGCATGAGTAAGTCTGAGTATGAGTATGCCTGAGTATGAGTAGGTCTGAGTATGAGTAAGTTAACATGACCAGGTCTGAGTATGAGTAAGTCTATGTATGAGTAGGTCTCTGTATGAGAAAGTCCAGGTATGAGGAGGAGAAGGAGGAGGATGAAAAGAAGAAGAGGAATGAGGAGTAGGAGGCGTCCAAGTAATTAGTCACTGTGTGGAGCTCCTCTTATGTGCATCTATTCGCATGGACCTGCCCGCCGTGAAAGTCTAGGCGCAAGATGTTTCTAACATAAGCGGGCTTGAGTTGTGACGGTCTGGTCATGAATCGACCTTCGAACGGATTGGAGCGTGAATGAGTCTCGGTAGTAAGAGCGCGTCTATGCGCATGAGCCTGGGGCCTCCTGGGGCCTCCAGAAACCTCCTGGGCCTCCCTGGGGCCTCCACGAGCCTCTTGGGGCCTCTTGGGGCCTCTTGGGGCTTCGAGTGGCCTCCTGAGGCCTCCCCGAGCCTCGCGTAGCCTCCTGGAGCCTCCTGGAGCCTCCTGGGACCTCCTAGGGAAGATTCGTGCCCCAGGAGAGGTCTAATATATATATATATATATATATATATATATATATATAGGAACAGACGTACATAAAACATTGCGGATTGGAGCCACAGGAGAAGGGCAGTCTATAAGAGCACACGTAAAACACCAAGGATTCGTGCCCCAGGGGAGGCCCAATATATAGGAACAGCTGTAAAACATCTAGAATTGTATACACAGGAGAAGGACACTAGATAGAAACATACGTATAGCATCAAGGATTCGTGCTCCAGGTGAGGCCCAATATATAGGAGCATACGTAAAACAAATGGGATTGGCGCCACTCCTGTTGCCTTCTGAGGCCTCCTGCTCCTGGGGCCTCTCGGGGCCTCCTGTTGCCTTCCGAAGCCTCCTGGCGCTTCCTGTGGCCTCCTGGGGCCTCCTGTGGCTTCCTGAGGCCTCCTGGAGCTTCCTGAGGCCTCCTAGAGCCTCTTGGGACATCCTGTGGCCTCTTGGATCTTTATGTGGCCTCCTGATGCCTCCTGGGACCTCATGTGGCCTCCTGGGGCCTCCTGAAGCCTGATGGAGCCTCCTCTGGCATCCTGGGGAGAATATGTGTCCACGAGCCCACGAGTCTGGCCACCAAAATAAGCAAACCAATCGAGGCATCCTCAAAATCTGACCCCCTGGGAAGCGAGAATGAGCGCCTCGCTCGAGACATCCTCCAAATCTGCTCCGAAAGCGGAAGATGTTGCGGACCAAAACAGGCAAACCGCCTGAGACATCCTCGCCATTTGGCCGCGGAGGCCGTGAGATACCCCTGGCGGCCCCCCCTTAGGAGGCGCCTCGCACGAGACACCCTCCAAATCTGCTCCGAAAACTGAGGATGTTGCGGACCAAAACAGGCAAACCGCCTGAGGCATCCCCGCCATTTTGGCGCAAACGGAGGCCGTGCAATACCCCTGGCGCCCCCCCTTAGGAGTGCTAAAACCAGCAAGCCGCTCGAGACATCCTCATCCTCTGCTCATCGTCATCATCATCATCATCATCATCATCATCATCATCATCATCATCATCATCATCATCATCATCATCATCATCATCATCATCATCAGCAGCATCATCATCATCATCATCAGCAGCAGCAGCAGCAGAAGCAGCATTACACTCACCCATCATTCACCATCACCATCATACTCACATCGTACTCGCACCATAGCATGCTCATCATCATGACAATGATCATCATTGTCAACTGAAGAGAGGGAGGAGGTGGTATGGGTGGTCTGGCGCGGTCGGAGAATAACAAGAACCCCATCCTTTGGATATGGGGAATAACAAGAATCCCATCTTTGGATATGAAGAATAACAAGAACCCCATCCTTAGGATATGGGATATTCAAAATACTAAACAACAAGATTCGAAAAATGTTCAATAATAATTTGACATCGTACCCGGACTATGTTTTACTATTGTTTGAGTATTACTCCTGTAGAGAGACAGGCCCGACTTAACTCTGGCGGCGCGCACAGGGAATCAGGGGGAGGGGGGAAGGCTCTTGAGAAGGAGCTGCTTCTTAGAAGGCGCCAGCCTTGCATCTACAGACAGGGCCCGCGCCTTCTGAGAAGCAGGGGTGCTTCTAAGAAGCCGTACCCCCTCCCCCTACCCCCAGACATGCGACGGCCTGATTTTTCCAATACGGGGTCCGACCCTTTCCCGGGACCGGCTTTTCATCCTGAGAAATGTTTTGGTGGTCCCAAGACCTGGCGAGGGCCCCCAGGGACCGAAAACGGCCAGAAGCCTCCCGTCCTGAAACTTTTTTGCGACGCGATCATGTCTGGGCCCCCCTCTGCACGTGACCGAGCCCCAATACCATCTTGTCGGCTCTTGCGAATCGACGCTAATCAACGCTGAATCGACGCTAACTGACGCTAAATCGACGCTAACCGACGCTATCTCGTCGACTCCAGACGCTCGTCGACGCTAAAGACGGAATTAACAGGGTATACCAGGCTCCCATGATTTGCCACCGAACTCCCCCCTCGTTCTCGCCCTTGCCGCCGGACATGTCGCGATGCCGTCCCCCAGCCCGTCCCGGCGCGCGTGCGGACGGACTGCCTCTGCCGCGCCGTGGCGCACAAACGCAGGCGGCTGGGAACCCAGACCCCGACGTCGTGATTTGTGTTGTGACGTGACCCGAGGTCGGGGGCCTGCTCACCCGGGTCAATCAGACCCGGGTCAGCAGGAAACCCAAAAACTGAAATGCAGGAACAAAAAAAAGCTGCAACGCAGGCCTTCGCAAACCCGGGTTATGCGCGGCCGCCTCGCGGCCACGAGCGGCTCGCTAACCCGGGTCAGCCAGCGGGGGTCTTCGCAGGATCCTGCAGGATCCAGTGCCCTGGCTGACCCCCATTTGCATTGACCCCCGTCTCTTGAGCCCCGACGAGGGAGCCTGGACCCCTTCCCAGAGCCCGGCTTCAAAGCACGAAAACAGCGAAACAAAAACCGCAACGATTTACTCACGACGCGAGGGGGTCTGGGGTTCGAATCTTGAACCTCCCTCCCTCCCTCGCTCGAGGAGGAGGAGGAGGAGGAGGAGGAGAAGGAGGAGGAGGAGGAGGAGGGGGAGGGGGAGGGAGGAGAAGGAGGAGGAGGAAGAGGAGGAGGGGGAGGCAGCAGCAGCAGCAGGAAGAGGAGGAGAGGAGGAGGAGGGGAGGGGGGGGGGGGAGAGGGAGAGGGAGGGCGAAGGGAGCGCGCCTGCAGCAGCTCCCAGCCGTCCTCGGGGGGGCGGCAGCGAAGAGGGGCGAGCCCAGGGCGAGAAGGACGCGGAGGCGCGCAGAGAAAGCAGAGCGAGGAGCGAGGGCCTCCCAGCTGTCCGGGGGGGGTGGGAAGGCCTCCTCCTCCTCCTCCTCCTCCTCCTCCTCCTCCTCCTCCTCCTCCTCCTCCTCCTCGAGGCCAGGGTCAGGGGCGGAGGCCGGGGCGAGGGGCGAGGAGGGCGAAGAGAGCGCGGGGCGCGGGGGCGCGGAGTGCGCGAAGGGCGCGAAGGGCGCGGAGGGCGCGAAGGGCGCGGAGGGCGAGAGGGAGGGCGAGGGCGGCGGGGGAGCCGGCCGACAGGCGCAAGACCGACAGACAGGCAGACAGGCAGACAGACAGACAGACAGACAGACAGGCAGGCAGGCAGACAGACAGACAGACAGACAGACAGACACACAGAGACACACACACACACACACACACCGTCCCCAGAAGGAGGCACCAGGCTTGCGCAGTGCCCCCGGCGGCGCAGACACATCATGCCCCAGGGTGCCAGGAGCAGGGGCGCGGACGAACAGCGGCTCCCCCGCCGGCGCTCCCCGCCCCCCCCCAAAAAAAAGCCTGCGACGTGGGCGCTGCAGGCCCAGACCAACATCGCCCGCCGTGGCTGGCCCGCCGTGGCGCGCCGGGGAGCCGCATCGACTCGGGCCGCCAGGGGTGGCAAGACGAGCCGCACACGCCGCCCGCCGGGGGCGCCGACGCCCCGAAGCCGAGTGCGCAGCGGAGGGGGGGTGCGCATCGTGGCCCAAGGCACGTGCGCGGACGAGCGGGGGCCAGCGGGCTCAGTGGGCCTCGGGCACGGCAGCGCTGGGTCTCTGATCGTGCTCAGGAAGCCTCGTGTCGATAGTGAGAGCGGTTCATATATATATATATATACTATATATATATACCTGAATATATATATATATATATATATATATATATATATATATACTTATTCTGAAAATAACGAAGACAAACAAAAAAAACAATCAAACAAACAAACGAACAAACAAACAAATAAACAAACAAACCAACAAACAAACAACAAACAAACAAATCACCGAAACGGTAACAAAAACTGTTCACCGGAACGGCATGGGCAGTCCTGGGATTGGACTGGCGCTCAGAACCGCTATGAAAACGGCTCGGATCCCGTAGAAACACTATGATCTGGACCAGACACCCGCCAAAGGAAACGATAACAGTAATACAATAGCGCCCGTCACGTAGAAAAATTGCCGCAGCAACAGCATATTCTTTCTCAACAAAACGATATATCGATGTATGTATTAAAAAAGGTATATGTGTATACATGTGTGACTACGTATAAACATATGAAACTGGATGAATGAAAACGCCCTGTCGCTTCCAGGGGCCACCTTGCCAGGGCCACGAAATCCAAGGAATCTCGTGGCCCCAGCCATGCTCGTATCCCCACGCCCCTTGTCCTCAACCCCCCCATCCTTGGACGCCTCCGAGAGAGGGGTCGTCACCGCCCGGGAGCGGAGGCCAAGCTCCCCGGGAGCGCGACCGGCTGCGACTGGTCCTCCCTGCTGCGCCGACTTCGCGGGCCCTCGTCCGCCGCAGACGACGGCTGGAAGAAGGCTTAAGTCGGGCATGTCCCCCTGTAGGCGGCTTCCGGGCTAAGATTTGAAAATAATCGTTTCTTTGCTTTTATTCCCAAAAAAAACAGAAAAACAAAAAACAAAAAAACAATAAAAACAACGACGACGACGACGACGACGACGACGACGACGACGACGACAACAACAACAACAACAACAACAACAACAATCATTTTACCCGAACGCGTGGTGTTCTCCCCAGTGCCAGGGTTTTCATACGACACCAGGCAATACCCCCACTTCGTGGGGGGGCATTACAAGCTCTACCAAATATCCAAACGACTCTTCGCGACCACCCAAACCCAGCTTCCCGCCCTATGACGTTGGGACACTTCACTTCGTGGCGTGCGGACGACCGTGGCTACTACACTGGCGTGGGGTACACACCCACAGAACTTGGTCACTTATTCGGGGCGCGCATGTGCCCAGCATGGTGCAATTGTGCCATACAATACATAATACAGAGAGACAGAGAGAGAGACAGAGAGCAGACAGAGAGAGAGACAGAGAGAGCGGAGTTGGTCACATTTTTGGGTCAAGTTCCTGGGATGATGGGAATACACAACTCTGTTACATTTGATAGTGTGCACGACACACATGAGATGATACGTACTCGCAAGATAGTTGGTCACATTTGTGGAATTCCTGGGCGGATGTGGGGATACACAAATACCTTTGTTACCAGTGCTAGACATGGTACAGACACTGAGAGAGAGAAGGCGAGACAGAGGAAGAGAGCGGGAGAGAGAGAGACAAAGAGAGAGAGACAGAGAGAGAGGAGTTCGTCACATTTTTTCATCAAATTCCTGTGCCGAAGTGGGAATACGCAAAGGCATCAGTTGCATATGACCCGTAGGGTACATGGTACACATGATCATGGTACGTACGCACAAGATGGTTGATCACATTTTTAGGGCAAATTCCTGAGGGATGTGGGAATACACAAGAGAGAGAGACGATATGGTTTTCCCGATGGTTGTCTCGATGGTTTTCCCGATGGTTGTCTCGATGTTGGGAAACCATTGTTTTTTTTTTAGGATTCGGACAGCGCGCGCGGGTGGAAATTTTGAAAAGTCGTGCAGCTGTTTTTCGAGGACCTACGGTGCGATTCGTGTGATTTTATGATGCGCGGTGGTAAAATTCTTAAGAACCCAATGGTTTTTGGAGATTTCGGCGTGCGCGCGCGAAGAAAAAACGAATCTGTCCCGCATGGTATTATTTGACAGGGATGATGGCCCTGGCAGGTGCGCAACCGTTGTCGCAGAAGTTCGAAAAAGTTGCTCGCAAAAGCCCGTTTGACAGAAATGTTGAAAAAGTGTTGGGTTTCCTACGAATCCGCAAGAGCGCGCGGGATGAGATTTTGACATTTTTTTGTTGAAAAACCATTAGTTTTTTGATGTTTTTATGTTAAAATCGCTCCGAACACTAAGCTTTTGGAAGGATTTCGTCTTGCGCGCGCGAATGTCCACTTTACCTTATTTTTTGCAAGGGATTCTTGAAATTTGATTATATTAGAACAAGAAATGTCATTTTATAGTGTTTTTTGCAAGGGAAAGCGGGGGAACAAAACAACCGGATCTTGATCACATCGAATTACCTGAGGCTTCCTCACGAAAATGATGAAAATGTAGCTGCGGCCTAGGCGGCGCAGGGGGGCCGTGCACCAGGGGTCCCAACAATAATTATTCTTTAGAATTAATAATGTTCAACAACAACAACAACAACAACAACAACAACAACAACAACAACAACCACAACCACAACCACAACCACAACCACAACCACAACCACAACAACAACCACAACAACAACAACAACAACAACAACAACAACAACAACAACAACAACAAAACGCCCCCTGACTATTATGTTGACTGTTTTTGAACAGGTCTCCTGTCCAGGGGCACGCCCGACTTAATTAAATTGAATGACCATCCCGGACGGCAAAGAGAACCCGGCAGGTCCGGGGGGGGCCGGCGGGCCCAGGAGGATGCCTGAGGGCGACGCGGCCGCGCCAGGGAGAGCGCCAGGTACGCCCCTCGACCAGGAGATGGGCCACGGAGCTGATGTACAGCGGGGGCCCATGCCGAGAAACACCCTGCTTGCCTCCAGGGTGCCCTGGGTTTCTTGGGCTTCGATGGTCTTGCCATGGAAGGCGTGGCGTTCTCGCGCCCACAAACAAGGGACGTCCTGGGGTCTCAGGGCTGGGTTTCCTTGTGGACGGTTTCTTGTGGACCGGCCCCCAATGCAATTACCCCAACATTGCTCCGTCGTGGAATCTCCAAACAAATACGCAGAATGCTTGCAGGTGTACGAGCATTCCGTACGTTCTTGATTCCACGAAAAAACTGTAATCCTGGGGTGCATCAATTCTGTATAGTCGATCCTCCACTCGAGCCCTGAGAGCGTTCTGGAACGCTCTGGAACAGCTCCTCTTCTTCCTGGGCCCTTCAATGCATGGGCGGTTGGGGGCCGATGGCGCCGGCCCGGACCACAAGTAAAGCGATGTGTGTGCCGTGCTCGAGCTTACCCTGTCTGGCCCCGCCGCCCCGGCCAAAAACTGATGGGCTGATTTTCAACCACCACTACCATAGGTATGAGAGGGAGGCAGGGAGGAGGAGGAGGAGGAGGAGGAGGAGGAGGAGGGAGGGGGAGAGGGGAGGAGGAGGAGGAGGAGGGAGGAGAGGAGGAGGAGGAGGAGGAGGAGGAGGAGGAGGAGGAGGAGGAGGAGGAGGAGGAGGACGAGGAGGAGGAGGGGGAGGAGGAGGAGGAGGGGGACGAGGAGGGGGAGGAGGACCTTCCCATCCTCCTTTCTCCCTCTTCCTACCTATGGTAGCGGTGTTGGAAAATTGGCCAATCGAAAACCGGAGGGGGGGGGGAGGGACGCAGAGCCTGGGCAGAGGGGGCCCGGGAGGGCACCTTCGCAGACCTCTGGCGCTGTCTCTGCCGTTTTTGCACACGGGCGCGGGCCCCCCCCAGCCCCTCGACCCCGTCTCAGGGGCCAGCTCTGTCTCGAGTACAGTCGGGGCCTTGACCTAAGGAACCCTACATAAGGAACGAGGCCCCTTTTTCCATAGGTTAAACTTCGATTTCCCATCGAAACCCTAAGCAAAACCAAAGGCGAACTACAAAACAACTAAGGAACACCGAGCCCCTCCCTGACGAAAAGGGTTCCTTCCTCAGCGCCCCGACTGTAAGGAGGGGATCGACGAAAAGAGTTGATGCACCCCCCAAAAACTGCTCGTCGAATCGACGGCCAAATGCAGAGAATGCTCGTAGAGCTGCGGGAAAATCGTCGTATGTGTTGTAGAGTCGACTGGGAAACCGATTCTGGGGCAAGTCAATTCTGCAGTCGATCCCCTACTCGGCCGTCCTCGGCTGTTCTTGGAGGCCCCCAGGGCCCAGACGCGCGCCATCCCAAGATGCCCCTCGCTGCAGCTGGGGAGCGTGCGCCCGAGCAGCAGAAACGGCGTGATGCTACGCGAAGACGCGCACACGACACACAAAGACAAAAGACAGAAAACCTGCACACGCTGGTCGTCGAAAGTGGGTACTCCAGATTTCGTAATAAAAGGGAGGGGGTCTCGACCCTCCAAGACAAGCCATTTCAGACCTCCCCCGTGGGAGAACCCTCCAAAACATCGTCCCCAGACCCCCCAGGCCCTCCAAGATAGCCTGGAAGAGACCCCCCCCCCCCGAAATGAGACCCCCCTCCCTTTATTACGAAATCTGGAGTATTCCTGGAGCTCCGGATCCCAATCTGCTTCGGGCGCCTGCCTGCTTCAAGAGTGGGCACGGTGCTGAGGCGCGTGGTGCCTCTTGGGGAGGGCCTGAACCCAGTCTGCTCTGTCCGCCTCCCTGCTCCGTGTTTCTGCCCACTTCTTTCGACCGGCGTGCATCGAACAACCCCACTCGGGCCGGGCGACAGGGGGGGATAGCGAAGGGGGGGTTTGAGAATCAGCTCACGTAACTGATTCTCCCAGCGCCTCCTGGCGCCAGGAGGCGCCCACGTATCGAAGAATGGGCCCGGCGGCGGGGCCGAAACCCGCTGCATGCAGCAGATTTCGAAACCCCCCCTTTCCCGATCCCCCCCTTTCGATCGGCCCGACCAATGTTTCCATGGACACGCGGTCCGCCACCCAGAGCTTCACCGCCTCCGGCTCGTCGCGCGACGCCGTCGCCTCTCCGTGCGCGCGCGCGGCGCGAGCGCGGCAGAGCACGGCCCTGCGGGCGCACAGGGCGCGCGCACTCCCGGACGCCACGCCGCGAGCAGGAGCAGGGCTCGGCAAAGGAAAGCAATGTACTAGAGGCCTCCTTGATGGATGGGGTCGGAGTAGTGGAGGCCTGTCCACAAGACACCGTCCACAGGAAACCCAACCCTGCGACCCCAGGGCGTCCCTTGATTTTCGGTGTGTGGGAGCGTCGCGCTTGCCATGGCAAGACCATCGAAGCCCAAGAAACTCAGGGCACCCTGGAGGCAAGCAGGGTGTTTCTTGGCATGGGCCTTCACTGTAGATGGGGTCGGAGGATCGTGCCACATCGCCGATACATCGGCGATGCATCGGCGATGCATCTGCGATGCGCCGGCGATGCACCCGCGGCGCCGGCGATGCACCCGCGGCGCCGGCGATGCATCGGCCACGGCGTGGAGAAAGTCGGAGTCCGCATCGCGCAGCATGGCCGATGCATCGGCGATGCGGCGCGATCCGCCGACCCCATCTGCTCGGACCCCCTCCGAGGGGCCCAGGATGCACTGCAGACGCCAGCAGCAACTTCCGGCGGTCCGCGCAGGTCTCCGGGGTCGGCGCCAGGCCCCCCCCCTGCCCCTAGTGCGCGGGGCGCGCGCCAGGGGGGGAGCCGGCGCCGACCCTGCAAGTCCGCGCAGACCTCCGAAAGCGTACAGTCGAGGCGTTGACCTAAGGAACCCTGAATAAGGAACGAGGCCCCTTTTTTTCATAAGCTAAACTTCGATTTCCTACCGAAAACATGAGGAAAACCTGAGGCAAGCTGTGAAACACTGAAGGAACGCGGAACCCCTCCCCAACCAAAAGGGTTCCTTCTTCAGGGCCCCGACTGTATGCTCATGTAGACTTTGGCTAGTTGGGCACAGCCCAAAACCACTATCAAAGACGTTTGTCTGGACGCAGAGCACACTCGACGCGCAGAGCACGCGACATATGCCCTCGACCGAGTGGTGCAAGGTGCAAGGAGGCCTTGCCTCGAATGCTTATTCGGAAGGCCGCTTCTGCCTGCATGCGCGACCAGCAAGTCCGCACGAGGTCCAGACCTCTAGCTCAGGGGAGGGGAAGTACGGCAGGTCGACGTCGCGACGAAGACGGCGATGGGCTCTGGCACTGCGTGGGCTGTGCAGCTAGAACGGAGCTAGGATCGGGATAAATCGCTCCAGAGCGTTCCGGAGCGCTCTCAGAGCGTTCCGGAACGCTCTGGAGCGGCCGCGGCGCCCAATACATCCTCCAAACCCGCCGATTCTCAGAGATTTCGACTTATCCCGATCCGATTTTGGACGGGGAGAGGGGGAGGAGAAGGAGGAGGAGGAGGAGGAAAAAGAGGAGGAGGAGGAGGAGGAGGAGGAAGAGGAGGAGGAGGAAGGGGAGAAGGACGATCGCGGTCTTCCCATGGCACAGATCGTTCGATGTGTCGGCCGAGCCTGGCCTCGTTGCGGCGTTCGACCTGGAACGCCCGCTCTGGGATCGGCTCCTCCTCCTCCTCCTCCTCCTCCTCCTCCTTCTCCTCCTCCTCATGATCCTCCTCCTCCTCCTCCTCCTCCCCCTCCTCATGATCCTCCTCCTCCTCCTCCTCCTCCCCCCCCTCTCCTCCGCATAAGTAGTCCAAACCAGACTTAGAAGGTAAAGTAAGCCACGTGATGCAACAGGCACCATGAACAACCCTGATGGCAGGCAGTGGCAGAGACTGGAGACAGCCTGAAACACAAACCAGAGACAAACACAACACAAACATCGACGCAGACAGACGGCAGCAAACACAAAATTCGTAACAAGGAGATGAGATAGACCACAGAAACATACCAGCGTTGATCTACACTCGGAAGAAGTAGGTAGCAACATGAGAAAAGCATTCAGGCCCTTCGGGCATGGAAGGACGAAGGCGCGTCAAATAGATGAATACCCGTTCTTACACAAACCGCATGCCAACCATGGACAGGTAATCCAACAGAGAAGGCCAGAAAAAATCACGCACACACGCTGTGGCTGCGGTCGAAATGCGGCCAGGACCCGATAACTCGTCTAGGCCGTCGCCAACGTGGTCAACCATTCGGGCGCAAAATTACACGGTTTAAGGATCGGTGGATCTGGCGCGTGGACACCGATCCAAGCATCGGGGAAGGTACCCCTCGAAACATGAAGCCAATGCCGCTTGATTCGGCGACGGAGCGCATCGATTCCATGTGGAAACGTGACCCGTCGCTCATCCACGCGCCTCAAACTCAAGCTCTGCGTTTCCCGAACCTAAAAACGACGACGTCGTTGACGCCGTCGTCGTCGTCGTCGATGTCGTCGTTGACATCGCTGTTGCCGATGCGCCGGCGGGATCTGGGTCGGTCAGAAAACGCGGCCAAAGACGCGCTTGCGCAGCCAGCGCACTGGCCAGGCCCGCGAGGACATGCGACTGGTGGCGGACGAGCCAAAGCGCGGAGCGACGCCTTCTGCAGCGCTGGGCCGCGCTGGGTGCGGGGCCGCCAGGGTCTCGCAGGCGTGCCGCACACGAGCACGCCCACCCTCACAGCCCACGTGCGCACGTGCACATGCAGGAGGGCAGGCAGGACTGCACGGACATGCACGGACGCATGCATGCACGGACGCGGGCACGGACGCAGACTCGGCCGTGCGCCATACCATGCGCTGCGGAGGACAGGACGAATACTCGAGCCAGGCAGGAGTCGTGCGAGGCAGCAGCGCGGCAGCACAGGGCCACGAGGACTGCCGGCGGCCACGGCGGAGTCGCCAGCAGAGACCCGTCCGGCGAGAAGGCCACCGCCCACACCTGGCGCGGAGCGCGGCAACAAGTCGAAACGGAGGCAAGAAACGGACTACAGTCCACCCGGATCACGAGGACGCACAATAGGGATGCAAGGCCCCTGGAAGGCCATCTCGAAGCCTTTCGAGCGGGGCGCGGCCGACGAAAGTGGCCAAGGACGGACTGGGGAGAGAAGGATGCAAGGGTACCCCTGGGAAGGCTGCCCATCCTGACCAGGCGGATCGACTGTACGCACCCCTTTATCGCACCAGGCCCTGGCGCATCCCAGCGGCACGAACGCGTGAGCACGAGCCATGACAGCACGTGAGCCTACAGTGGAGGCCAGTCCACAAGAAACCTTCCACAAGAAACCCAACCCTGAGACCCCATGACGTCCATTGATTCTTGGTGTGGGAACGTCACGCTTTCCATAACAAAACCATCGAACCCCCCCCTAAAAAAAAACATGGCACCCTGGAGGCAAACAGGGTGTTTCTCAGTATGGGCCACCACTGTATCGTACCAGGCCACGGCGCATCCCAGTTGCACGAACGCGCGAGCACGAATCATGACAGCACGTGAGCCTAGGTTCGGGAACGCGCAAACATGGATTAGCGATCGGTCGCCTAATCCATGGATCGGGGGAGGTGCCCGCCCCAAAGTGCGGCCGGTGCCGCCTCGTCGGCGGCGGAAACCACTGATTTCCCTTACAAACGGAACCTGTCGCGAATCCACGCCCCTCCTCCTCCTCCTCCTCCTCCTCCTCCTCCTCCTCCTCCTCCTCCTCCTCCTCCTGCTCCTCCTGTTCCTCGTCATCCTCCTCCTCCTCCTTTTCCTCCTCCTCCTCCTCCTCCTCCTCCTCCTCCTCCTCCTCCTCCTCCTCCTCCTCCTTTTTTTGGGCAGCGACGCACATACCCCTGAACAGTATACTGCAACAACAGTCAGAGGAGCACTGATGCAACAGAAAAGAATTCACCTGTAATTACAGCAGAAGGATGAATTCATCAACGTCAACAGAAACACCCTTCTTATCAGGGTGAAGGCCCTTGCGGAGCTTGCGAATATTCTTCAAGCCAGTTTCCGTTGGGTGCCCACATTTGCGACCCAGGCCTATCACTTGACCTCCACTGCTGTAAAACTTGCACGACATGCACAAAAACAGGTGACTCTTGTCACGGTGACCCTTGGACTCCAAGACCCCTTGGTCCAACGGACAGGTCCCAGGGCAACATCCACCAACCGGCTTGGACTCGGCACGGGATCCACGAAGGCAGACTCTACAACGCCACGTGTTTCCCTGCTTGGTCCAGTCGTGGCAAACTTCAAGCAAGGGAGCGTCCGAGGGCTGGGGCCTAGGGGCACGCTCAAGGCCTCGGAACTCCAGCTTGGGCCACAGCGGTAGGAGCTCCGCTCCAGCCAACAAGACGAGACGCGCAATCTTAAGCCGTCTCTGCAGGTCTTCCTCTTCAGAGGGGGACCAGCTAGGGTGAAGCAACACAGCTCCCTTGGCCGCGACGTCGGCGTAGCGGTTCCCAACACGCAAGAACCTCTCTCGCGCACTGCGCCCTTCTTCATCGAGGTCACGGCGAGCTGCAACCATCACAAAAGAAGAAACATTAGACCCAAAGTGCTGGCGCGCTTGAATGACGAGGCCAGCGTATTGACGCTTCCCAGAGATGGCGTCCGCCTCTCCAAGGTTCATTAAACTCACCACATTGCTGCAGTCTGAATAGCAGTCAGAGGGGCCTTCCGAGTAAAGCCCCGCCCAGGCCAGGGCCCCAAATTCAGAGCCTTGAGGGGTCTGAGGCCAAGGGGCCTAAAGAGGACATTTGAAAACCCCAAGGCGCTCCCCAGCCTGAGAGACCATGACCACGGCCCAACCAGCCCTAGACAACTCTCTAACAGCGTGGCGGCGGCAAGAGCCGCCCATGAACAGGTGTCCCCAGATCCCATCGGTAGGAGGAATGGAGGAAGGAGCAGCAGCATCTGACGGGCCAGGCAGCAGATCCGCATACCAATCGTAGACGACCCCAGTACTCGTAGCAGGAGGAGGAGCGAGATCTCCTGGATGCCTCAGAGCCCCATGTAAGAATAACACTCCATCCTCAGAGTCAGGGCCAGCTTGGCGGGCTTCCTCTTGGAGCCACATGGGAAGAACTGCATCACGTTCCTGCTGCACAGCAGGGCAAACATAAAGACGGTGAAGAAGAGCGTCTCTAGCTTCGCCACAAAGCTGACACCGATCAGGAAACAAATAGCCTGCAGACGCCACGCCACCTGCAGTCCAACACGCCTTAGTCGCCAAGGCTCTGACCCAACCCTTAGTCGTGGCCCCAATTTTTTGGGGCCCCGGATATGCTTGGCCACATCCCAACACAGCCGAGCCCCCGCCCCGTAGGTGTCTCCAGAGATCCGCCCCAGGGAGCGAAAAACAGCTTCCTTACAAAAAACCTTGGCGAGCTGAGGGCTGGAGAGAGCGAGAGAGATTTCACGACCAAAGTCGTCGACGATGGTGCAGAAATCCGACATGGTCCACCCTAATCTGTATAAGGTCATCCTCAGGGCCGAAATCGGACCTCGGACCTTGGCCCAAGACCAGTTGTCCGAAGAGAACGCCCCTCACGCATTTCGGACCACGAGAGCGACCAAGGGAAGGCATTGGTTCTCAAAATCCGTTTCTCTTTGGCCCAACGAATGATCGGGGCACAGCTGCCCCTCCAAGTCGGACCCCCTTCGAGCGAGGAAAGCACGTGCAAGGACCTGCCCTGAGCTCTCGGCTTAATGCAGGACATGGCCACCCTTCGCAAGCTAAGGAGCTCCGAATCCGAGACCCCATAGAGGTCCGAGCCATAGACGGCTCCAGCCAGGGGACCCGCGCGAAAACCCACAGGGCCTTTCGGCCCAGGGCCTCTCCAAGGCCTTGCATGGGGCCGAGATTTCCGCCAAGCGGCAGCAGCACGAGCCTTCATTTTTGCAGACCTGCCTTTCCCTGCTCGCGCAGGCCTACCAGCAGTGAAGTCCGAGCCGAGGTTGGTGACCCTCGTGCAAGCTGCGCCAACCAAGCTGCCAAGGGACTCCCCCAACTTGTGAGCAACAAAGCTGCTGCTGCTAACCATGCCTATCTTGTCCATGGCCAGCTTGCACTGCAGGGTTCGGGTGCCAGCCGCATGTAGAGCACGCGATCCACGACAAATAACTCCGATGACCTCCTTTGCTGAGCCCGTGGCATTCAAACTGAAACCGTTTATGGACGCATCGAAGTAGCACCGCCCTGGTTCTCGCGGGATACCGTCGAAGGCCTCCATAGCAAACACTCTGATCAAGCTAGCGGCAAAGGAACACCCCGCCACAATGCCCTCCCTAGGGAAGAAAGGGCCTTCAACAATACCCCCGAGAGCCATGTAGCGGGCCGCAGAGTAAGCCTGAACGGCCAGCCTGGCAAGGCAAGCTGGGGAACTATGATGAAGGCATTTCTGCCATGGGAACCCAAGATCAATGCGCCATAAGAACTCAAGAACAATCCCAAAAAACTGAGGCCGCGCACTGACACAGCAGGGCCCCGCTTTCAGCCCTAAGGGCCTGTCTCCAGACAACGTCACCAGCTCCTCGGAAGGCCCCAGCCGCCCAGTAGCCCCTCGTGTAGGACAGCGCCCACCTAAGAGCTTCGCCCCTTCTACAGCGACCCCAAACTCGATACCAGCTCGGAAAAAACACCGATCGGTCGGAAGCCTCCAGGGGGCTTGTTCAGGAGAGCCAGAAGGACCCAAGCGATCTGGGGGGGGGGCAGTGCCTTCCATAACCGCAAACCACAAGGCCATCGCATGGAGCGCAACATCGGGGAGCAAGGCAAAGCGCCGACAGTGGAACCCGTCCACACTAACAACCGAGGCAAGTTTGCACTTCTTAGACAAAGCGCGAATCTCAGAAGGCTCAAGGAGAGGGGAGTGAGGCAAGATGCCGTTGCCTTCACCCTTGCAGAAGTCCGCCAGACCACTGCCTTGCTGCCAGATGTCACTAAACTCGTTCGCCCCAGCCTCGAGGAGACCCACAGGATCCGCAACAATTATTCCACGCCGAGAGAGGGTGGTGGTCGGGACCCAAGCGATTGGCTCCCTGATGGCCTTCTGAACGCGTTCCCCCCTTTTTCGGGCCCCTGGCGCAGCCAGTCGTGCCAGTCCTTCCTCGAGACCTCAGCATGCGCCGCCTTAGCCGACTGAGCAGCATCCGCCGCGTCCGAGATTAAACAATCGAGATCGGCATGGGCCACGGGATCGCCGCTGCCAGCACGAATGGCGCGGGCTAAGCTGGCGGCAGACGCGAAATACATGCTCTACTCGGAGTCTGCGGCACCCGCCACCGAGGCAGGAGGATGCTCAAGTGTCTCAACAACATGGCGACCTCCAGCCTGCAAAGAGTCTCCAAGATAGCACCTAACAGCTCCAAGCTGATTGGGAAGCCACACTATGCTACGCACGTGCAGGACCTCGGCTCTCCCCGCAGGCTTCAGAACAGGCTTCCAATAAAGTTAAGGTCTTTTCCCCCTAGCCCCAACGGCGGGGACTTCGACACCCAGAACGTCCGCCAAGTCGCGTTCAGCCGAGTCCGCCCACGCCTTGTAGCCAGGAATAAAAAGCCTGCGAGCCCTCCGAGCGCCCCCAACGTTCATGGCGTCAAAGGCTTCTTGGGCGAGCTTCAGAGCACCACCCCTATCCCCAGGGCACGGAGCAGGTCCCACAGGGGCCCCCACAGGAAGGTCGGGGGGACGACGGAAGGCGAGAGCCTTTTGGTCGCCGAGAGAACTGCGAAACTGCAACGTGGCAGGGCGATGGGGAGCGAGGGGGGGGGGGGGGGGGGGGGGGAGGGGGGGGCGCTGGAGTCTTCGGCGACCCTCACTTCCCTCTAGCAAAGACCAAGGGCCTCCGAGAGAACAACACAATCAAAACGCGTTCAGGGGGGAGGGGGGGGGGGGGGGGGGGGGGGGCACTGGGGAAGTGGGCGTGACCACAGGTGCTGAGCACCGACGCCCCAAGTTTCTTGCAAAAATCAGACCTCTCGAGGCCCTCGGGACCGAAGTTCCAGTCAGCCCCCACAATGAACTCACAACCGACTCCCTCAATAAATCCCCCAACAGCGCCAAAGATCTCCAAGCTCGCCTCCGAAAGACCTTGGCTGTGGAAGAGATAGAGGGAGCAGACGCAGAACGGAACACAACGAGGAACGCGCACCATGGCCGCGACCGCGCGCCCGTCGAACAAGATGCGCAACTCACTCTTCACAAAAACTCCGAAACCACAGCGAGCGAGAACAGCAACCCCACCACTGACTCCTCCACCTTCTCCAGGCACCCCAGGCGCCCATATGCTTTTCCAGCCGATGAAAAGCGAAGACTTGGATGCCTGGTCGATCAACAGCTGATCCCGAATCCGATGCCCCTGGGCTAGGACGATGTGCGAGTCAGAGGATCCCAAGTAGGTCTTAAGCGCGCCCCAGGAATTTGCGTTGACCGTCGCGACTTTCAGCCCTTCGGATAAAGGAATGCATGGTAAAGAAGCGCCCCCTGCTGGGGCCGAGGCCGAAGCAACAGGAGGTCCACCACGATAAGCAGACCTGCAGTGCCGTGCCCCGACCGAGCTTGACGGCGACGCAAAAGATAACGTTTCGGAGTGCAGCAACCGTGCGTCCAGCTCCAACTCGCTGAGGGCCTGGCTGCACGAGATGGTGAAGTTGGCAGCTGACGGGCGCTGCCGTGACGCGCCAGGCAGCGGCAACCGAGCAGAAGATTCCACACCGTGGGATCCTGGGGCATTCGAATTTCATCTGAAAACAGAGGGGCAGAGAAGAAACGCTTACCCTGCAAAACTCCAGACGCAACCTGAATGCGCCTGAAAAGTCTGATGCCCGCGGCTTGGGCCCTGGAGCCGATCACCGAAGCGCGAGACGCTAAAAAGTTATACAACCCCCAGGTAGACTTCGAGCCTGGGTCTCGTTCGGAAACAACGTTGCCCCCCCTGGGCGAGAACGCCAGGGGGGGCCCTCAGTCGCCCAAGGCCCCATCGACCCCGGCACGAAGCTCTGCCTTAGAATGCTCGCCTGCAGGGGCGGGCGCCGTGCTACCAGTGCCAGCAGGCCCAGACGGCGGCTCAGAGGATGCACTCGATGCTGCCCCAGCTGCCGCGCCTCCAGCAGCAGCTTCACCACCCTCGGCAAGACGGCGCTTCTTTGCTGCCAGGCGCAGTTTGTGAGCCTCATGCGCAGCTCTAGCCCCCTTTCCGTCGTCCGCAACCTGTTGGAACAATTTCTGCGCCAGCTCCTGTACACCAGGCCCCAGCGCCGCCCGACGAGACTCGAACTCCTTCCTGTCAGCTTCCTCCAGCTCAACCTCTCCCGCCGCAAAGTCCCCGAGGAGATCGTCGCAGTTGATGAAGGACTCGATGCTGAACTTGCCCGAGGCGAGGTCGCCCAGCTTGCGCGTGGCTGTCTGCATCTGGGGCTCGACCTTCGCAGCCTGCAGCTTGACCAGCGCAGACTTGTACTCCTCATCCGACAGCTTGAGACGGTCTCGAGTCTCACGAAGGAACAGCTCCAGCTCGGCGACATGCTCCATGGCCTCCGTGAGGCGCTGCAAGTCCTTCTCAGCTCGAGACTCAAGCTACTGAACGCCCCTGTGCGCCTTCTGCATCTGCGCATGTGCCGACAGCTCAGGTGGCGGTTTGTCCGCAGCCTCCAGGTGCTTCGCCATGAGGTCATAGCCCTGTGCTGCCAACTTGTCTCCCGCCTTGCTGGACAGCTCTGACAGTTGACGAGCTTCTGTAGCGGTGGCTGTAGGTACAGGGCCTGCAGGAAGAGGCAGGGATCCACCTCCAGCTGTCCCATCACCATACGCAGGAGAGTGCTTGGACTTCGGGGGCATGTCTGACCAGCCGTACCAGCTCGAGTCAGAACATCCTTTGCCAGCACCGAATGTGCCACCTTTGCCTCGTACATCTTTGCCGCCGCCGCCTTTCCCACTGTGGCCACTGAATCCAGCCCAGCATCCAGGGGGAGCCGACATAGCCCACGAGCTGCCAGTAAGTGGATCAGGATAAGCACCCGCAGACATGCGTGGAAGAAAGTTGCCGCAATGCTTGCACGAAACGGTTTCGGGCGAGTTGCGACGACATCCACATGTAGGACAGGCAAAACCTGTCGCTGGCGGTTTCCTCCCTTCCCCTTTGAGCGTCCAACCCCCTCCTTCGCCCTGACTGGTTCCCGAGTGCGCCCAAGGAGCATTCGCAAAGCGAGAAAAAGGGTCTGGTACCATCGAGAGAATGTACAGAGAGGAAGATTCCGTACACGAAACGTAATGCTGGAAGCACCTGGCACACAGCCAGGAAAGCAGACGGGGGCCGCAAAATCCCCCACACCACAAGGTCAAGGCCCTGAGCGAAACGCTACGGACTTGAGCCAAAATGGCTACGGACCCTCCTCCTCCTCCTCCTCTTCCTCCTCCTCCTCCTCCTCCTCCTCCTTCCTCCTCCTCCTCCTCCTCCTCCTCCTCCTCCTCCTCCCTCCCCTCCTCCTCCTCCTCCTCCTCCCTCCTCCTCCTCCCCCTCCCCCTCCCCTCCCCTCCCCTCTCGTCCTCCTCCTCCTCCTCTCCCTCCTCCTCCTCCCTCCTCCTCCTCCTCCTCCTCTCCTCCTCCTCCTCCTCCTCCTCCTCCTCCTCCTCCCTCCTCCTCCTCCTCCTCCTCCTCCCCCTCATCCACCTCCTCCTCCTCCTCCTCCTTCTCCTCCTCCGCCTCGATCCATGTTTGTGATCGCCTGATATACGTCACCAATCTCTTCAAGGGTGCAAGACGTGGCCCTGGCCCCAGGCGGCCCCAACTTCCCCAAAAGAGGCGCCAGGTGGCCTCCGGGGCACCACTCGCGAGGGTCCGAGGACCCAACGGTGACTACCTACCAGACCACCCCAGCCCAACCCGAAGACCCGAACTTCGGGTTGGGGGGGGGATAGGCTTCACCTATGTTTTTTCAATGCTCCCCGACCCCCCCCACACTGCCAGTGGAGGCCAGATCGGGGCCTTCGGGTTGGGCTGGGATGGTTTGGTGGACGGTGAAGCGTGGCGCGGAAAGCTGGGAGCACCCTGTGCCAGGACCACTCCTGGCCACACCCAAAACTTCGCGCGTCGCGTTCCGCGGAGTGCTCTTCTCTTCACGCTCTCGCGCCGCCCACGTGAACAACAGCTCTCCAGCCCAGGCAGCGAAGCGCAAAACATGATGATCCTTCACGCCCGAGCGGGTAACCTGACCCGGCTGAAGACTGGCGTGGCGCTCCGTGAGCGAAACGAGGAGGGCAACTGGCGGGGAGAGGGAGGAAAAGCCTCCCAGGCGCCACCCTGGAGACCAGCAGCAGCCGCGGCACAACGAAGAAGTCTGGTTGAATTTGGATTTCTGGTTTCCCGATAACGTCCAAAATGTAGGGGTAGCCGCGTTTGTGATCCCGTCTGGGCAACTCAATACATATGGGATCGAAAACTCACATTGCGCGTTCCCCGTCCATCCTGCGGTGTTGGGCCCTCGTTCTGAAGAGACAGCGCCCCGCCTCAATCCTCTCCTCATCCTCCTCCTCCTTTTCTCCTCCTTCCCCCCTCCTCCCACCCCTGCCTCTGCACTCCGCACGCCAACCATATCTCACACCCCTCACACGTTCCGTGGCCCTTGAAGGTCCCAGTGGCGCAGCCTGTATGCTTCTGCCACACGAATTTAGACACACCCATCACATGTTTCGAGGCCTCATGGGAAACTCCACCGAAGGTCCCAGTGGCACAGCCCGCATGCGCCCCCTCCACATATTTCGGCACACCCCTCACACGCTTCGTGGCCCCATGGGAATCTCCACCGGAAGTCCCAGTGGCACAGCCCGCATGCATCCGCCGAATTCACTTCGGCACACCCCTCACACGTCCCCATGGGTAGCTCCACTGCAGGTCCCAGTGGCGCAACCCGCATGCGCCCGCCCAGCCCAGTTCGCCACTTGGTAGGTAACATAGAACCGGTACCCCTACATATGGCCTCTTTGGCAGAATCCAGCATGCCGTTGGCAACGGCATCCTCAACTGACCAACGCCGCCGCCGCCAACGCCAGCCGCCAGATGCAAAGAGGCGCTGGCAGTGTTCGCCCAGTCGCCCCTGGCGAAGCTAACACGCCCATCGCCTTCGACTTCGCAAACACTCCAACGATGGTCATTGCGTGAATTCCCAAGGGTTTTGCCTTCTTGCTGCGTTGCCACTGCCATGTTTTAGTTGTGTTCCTGCGCGTGGCCCCGCCGATGCAGTGGCCATTGGTGGCGCAACGGCTGCGACACGCAACGTTTCTTTAAACGCCCTTGAATACTTGGACTGGCAGGCCGCGAGTCTCCGCGGGGGTCAACGCTGTCCCAGGTCATCTCAATATAACTCCCGACGGTACGTAGGATGACCCACGGTGGCGGCGGAATGCAGCATGGGCCTGAGAAATCCCGACCTGCATATGAGGTGGCCCCTGGGCCACCTCCAAGGAGACGGATAATCATTGCGTGACAATCGCACTCATGTCCTGGAGGTTTTCTACGAACCTCTCGGATCACGGGCCGATACGGCCGCTGGAGCCTTTCAAGCTCCCCAGGATCCTCCTAAAGGGCGGCCCGAGAGCCCCGACAAGGGCCGACGAGAAGGTCCAAAGTTCTATGGCTCGAAAACCAAATGAGGCAGCTTTGCTGCGGGGCCCCCTTCGCAACCGCGGGTTGCATCTGGAGCGGCCCCTAAAAGCCCGAAGTGCGGAAAACATGAAAACGAATGGGCCCCGAAGCCGCCTAAACCGCCTCGAGAGAGCCCCAATATGTTTCCAACAAGCGTCCACAGCGAATACAAAGAAGCAGTACTCACTGCATTATGGGGCAATGTCGGGGTGGTCCCCGATTCGGCCTGACAGGACTGGCTAAAGTTGCTCCATGAGTGCACACTTACCACGTTGAATAACCCCACATCCCAGTAGCCCTTCTTCAAAGCGTGGGTGGTATAAGGAGCTCGTCATGCTAAATCCGTTTTCTTTCCCCTCAGGGAGGGCCCCCCCCCTACCCCCTACCCCCTCCCCCCTCCCCCTGGGTCTGGACGGGGCGCCCCGTGAGCGGTCCGTGCGTCCAAGATGGCCCAAGGTCGCTCCAAGAGGGCTCCAGAGAGCTCCACATGGCCACCAAGATCGCGCAGGAGAGCCCAAGATAGTTCAATATAGCTTTCAACGCGCCTCCAAAAACTCCGAAGACCGCCTCAGGACGGCTCCACGTGCCCTCCGGGCCCGCCCCCAAGAAGCCCCAGAGAAATCAAAATCATGTTCTTCCATGTGTTTTGCATTCTCGCCTTCTCGCGTCCGATGGGCTCTCGAAGCCTCAATATGGATCCAAAAGGGGGGCCCAGGAGAGCACCAATACGGCCCCAAAAGCGCCCAAGACCGCCCCAAGAGCGGCCCACGAGGGCTCCAGGAGGCTCACATTCGGGCCCCGACGGGGGGACCTTGTTAGGGACCCCCCTTTCTTTGATCGATGGCCCTAAGAGGGCCCTCAAGGCTTCCGAAAGGGCACCAAGAAGAGCCCCAAAAACTCCCCCAAAAGGCCCTAAGAGAGCCCCAGGAGGGCCCAAGAGGCCTCCAAGAGGGCCATTCCCCATGAGCTGGCCGGGGACTCCCCGCTCGTCTTGAACGGGGCTCCTTCCCTTTCCCCCTCTCTTTACCCTCTTCCTTTTTGCTCGGCTAGCTCCTGCTCAGGCAGATAGATTGCCAAGGCGCGCCTACTTGTTATTTCCCTTCCTAATCCCTCTCAATCTCTACGGCCGGTTCAAACTTCCACGGGTATTCGTGCCTAGTTGGCCAGCTTACAGCCGCCTTTTCAGTTGACACCATTGTTTTTGTTGTCCGCTGTTCCCTCTCCTCCTCTATTTCCTCTCCTGGCCCAGAATCTCGGCTGGCACCTTAGCCTCCTCCTCGCAGAGTGGGTCAAAGAGGCCCAGTAGACGAGTGCCCTGAGTTATTCGCTGCCCGCCGCCTGCCACTTGCTTTGCGACGAAAGCCATGCATTCGCGCAACCTCAGTTGAGTCAAAAAAAAACCTCCTCCTCCTCCTCCTCCTCCTCCTCCCCCTCCTCCTCCTCCTCCTCCTCCTCATCATCATCATCACCATCATCATCATCATCATCATCATCCTCCCCCTTCCTCCATCTCATCCTCCTCCGCTATCCCTGGGGGTCTGCGGGGATTCCTGGAGGCCCCCAGAGGCCCAGTGGGGCCAGAAACGTATTTTTCAATAACAAAAAAAGCGACCCTCGAACGTCGAATCTCGACCCTCGATCCTCGATCCGTCTTCGTCCTCCTCCTCCTCCTCCTCCTCCTCCTCCTTCTCCTCCTCCTCGTCCTCCTCCTCCTCATCATCATCCTTCGGGCTGCGGGTAGCTACGTCGCCCGCACCATCTGAGCGCCTGATTGGGGCATGTTGGACGGAATGCTTTCTCCCCCAATCGCCGACGGCAACGACCAGCAACTTACACAAGATAACTTCAATTTATCCAGTGCTCTGCCATGAAAGGAGGCGGAAGGGCGGGGACGAGAGGATGGAGGGGGAGGAGGATGAGAAGGAGGCGGAGGAGGAGGAGGGGGAGGAGGAGGAGGAGGAGGAGGAGCAGGAGCAGGAGGAGGAGGAGGAGAAAAAGGAATCGGAAGAAGGGGGGGAGGGGGAGGAAGAGGAGGAGAGGCATAAGATGACGGCGATCTCTGTGCATTCGCCACGGCACGTTGTCCGACATCCAGGTCGAGTTCGCATTGCGCGCGTTGGG